TCCCATCCTTACTCAGAGGGCCTGTGCTCTCACTCTTTGGTATGGAGCCCCCTCCTGAGTGCTTCTGAGTGACATCCAAACCATGGTATGCTGACAGGGGCTGCCCCTTCTCCTGCACCAAGGAGACAGACTTGATATCATGAGACTGCTGCCTAACTCAGCTCCCAGGGTCCTGCTGGGCAGTATCGAGTGTATCTAAAGTTATGGAAACTCCAAAGTCCTTTTTTCATGTTTGTCTAATGATGAGTGGAAAAAGATGAGATTGTTGCTTTTTCATATCTCTCCTGGGGACTCTTCAAATTAATTCTACAGCTAAGATTCCCACACCCTCAGGGCAGGTTTGGGGAGAGACCTGAAGACTTTAAAATGGAAGAACAAAGTAGAGCAATGGACTTCCAGACAGATGTTCCACATGCAGATGTTGGAATCTGTGGAGAAAGGTGAAAGGGCATCACAGACTGTTGGAGAGAGAGAAAGCGGGCCAATAGTAGAGATGGCTACTTCTGCTCACAGAAAAAGAAATGAACGGACACAAGGTAGTGTTAAAGCTTTGAAAGGAATTTTTTCATTTGAGAGAGATTATGAATAATGAAATGCAAACACTGTAGTTAATAGGTCTATTGCCTTCCGGAAAGTGAGTAATATGTCCTGAGAGGAGTAGTTTCCCAGTTATCCTATTTGCCTATGGTCGGGATGAGCTCTTTTGTACCCCTAGATTCCTTTACCAAACAAACACTGGACATGTGATGCTCCGTGCAAAGTCACGTTTATTCCAAGGGCGCAAACTTCCTAAGCCTCGGCCGAGCTTTTCGCAAATGAACCCGACAACATGGAAATTTCTAAGGAGATTTGCTCCAGCTGTAGCAAATCCTTAATAATAAAAAATTTCCCCAAATGACTCAGTCACACAGGAGGTAAATGAGACATTCTGTATGAAGTCAGCATGCCACTTGGAGTGTGCCTTTATAGGAAAAGCACAGCCAGACAATTCGTGTGGTTAAGTGGGGCTTGTCTAAGGCCTGGAACCGGGACACTGGAGGAGGGGTAGAGGGGAGGGGACGGCAGCTGTCAGCTTGTAACCTTGGGTCACTTTTGCTTTAAGTAAATGTGATAGAAAAAAATGCGATTTTTCTAGGAAGTTCTGGGAAGGGCTGCTTATTTGCTTCACAAAAGGCTTCACCAGCGGGCGGGATCCTTTAACTAACAGGCTCAGAGAGAAACAGTATAATAAGACTGAGTGACAGGAACCTTTAACAAAAACACCCCTTTACCACAGGAGTGTGCAGGTTAGGATGTGTTTGTCATTGGCTGCAGGGCAAAAATGGAGTGAGACCCTGTATCTGCGCAGTAAATCGGGGCAGGCTTGCAACAGTGACATTTGCTGAAATAGGCCTGCTTCAGGACACTCTATTAATCTCCAGAATGACTCCACAGGTGGTTAAGCCACGAGACAAGACCCTCCCACTGCTGCTGACCAGGCCAGTGGGATGGCAGGACACTGCTGTCCTTCCTAGAGAAGTGAGTACCACTAAGCCCGGAACTACCTGGTGCTCTTGGAAACGCTGTCAATGTCTTTAGCGAGTGGGGGCCACGTACTTGACACTGAGCTAGGTGTTCTGCAGCGGGGAGGTTGGTGGTGCTGATGGTGATTATGTTGATGGTGAAGATGATCTGCTGGGTGGTGATGCTGTTGGTAGTGGTGGTGGTGATGATGACCCGGATGAAGTTGCAGTTTCATTTGCTACATCCTCAGTGCTGGATTGGTTTTCTCATGTCCTAACTCTGGGGGGAAAAATTATTATGGAAGCAGCTTTACTTTATATGTTATTAGCTTACTAAAGAAATGCAGACTCATTATAAACAATTCAGATCATAGAAGACAATAAAGGAGAAATTAAAAATTGCCAATTATCCTACACCCATATGTCTTGCCGCTATGAATGTTTTAGTGTATAGCCTTCCAGATTTTTCTATGTTTACACAAGGTTATATGTATTATTTATGCACATATATATTTCTCACACACTTTCAGCAGTCTGCCTTTTTAAAGTTCTTTCCATAAAACATAAAAATCCAGACCTGCAGCACTGTGTGCAATAACAACAGAGCATTTCATTTTATAAATATGTTGAAACTGGTTTACCTGCCTTCCAGGCGTGGACTTTTGGATAGCACTCTGCTTGTAAAGAATGTACCATCTCACTTTTCATTGCCTTTTAAAAAATACATGCACGTAGCTGCATACACATTTTTGTGCAATCAGCTGGCTGTTTTCTTAGGAAAACAATCCCTTAGCAGTAGGATTGCTGGATTAAAGACTGTGTACATAATAACTTTTGTCCAATTTTTCCAAAAGGTTTAAATAGGCTCACCTACTGTATCTTTTTGGGAAAGTGATTTCGGCTTTGCGTCCGTGCCTGACTTTTTCCCCCTGCTGTGCAGCTGAGAACATGACCGATCAGTTAAATTCTGCACACACTAAGTTTTGGACTAGATGTTCAGTCTTATATGTAGTCACTTGACTCTCACCACCACCTTAGGAGAAAGGTTCTACCTGCTAGCCCTTTTTCCTCTTACATCTGCCATTTCTGAAGTTTAGAGAAGTGCAGTGACTTGTCTAAGGGCACACAGCTGAAAAGTGGCCAAGCTGGGACCCAGTCACAATTGTGTCTCTTTGAAACACTGGGACTTGGGTGTCCAGAGCCCTGCGTGCTCCTGCAAGTGAGCTTGGTGGTGTGTGATGACAGGTGTAGGCCTAGGGCTCCTCCTACTTGGCACTCTGAGAGGGCAGCACCTCATTCAATGCCAAGTACTCTCCAGAGCAGGGAAATGACACGCAGGGGTTTTCCAGAAGGTTTTTGGAGTTCCCTTTGAGGACGAAATAAGCTGCTTTCACTTTGTTTTTCGAAGAGAGGAAGCCTGTTTTCAAAAGTCAGCATCATGTCCCGTCCTGAAATCACAGATCTCGAAACATTGCCGCATTCCCACAGCCTTCCCAAGTCCTTGGCCATCTCTCTGGAATGCCAGGGGAAAACAGCTGCAGGCTCGGAGCAGCTTCAGCCTTTCTTTCTTAAGGATTGGTACTTTTTTTACGTTTCCCATTTTCATTTATTTGTTTTCATTTTATTTAAAAGAAAGTTGAAGAGTGAGTTGCCATGTGTTGGTCGTTCTAACGCCCACAACAGCAAGGCTGTGTTAGGTCAAAATCAGCAGTATCTCCCATGTAGAGGGACCCAAGTTCTGGAGCTATCACTTGCTATCCCTCCTTCCCTCTCCTGGTGCAGCTAGACAGGAAGCTGAATCAGAAGTGGGGTAGCCAAGACTTGAGCCGGGTACTTGATATGGGATGTGGGCATTGCAAGCAGTAACTTAATCATTGCACTGAATGCCCACCATTGCCCTTCTTTAGGCTGTAGGGAGTCCAGTCCTCTCAGGTCCAAGCATGAGCCACTCCAGGTCTGCTCCTTGTAATTCCTTCACAGGCTTATTTGTGGGGAAGTGGCTGAGCAAGCAGCACTAAGGCTCTTATGGGCTGGAGTGAGGGCCGTGGGCCTCTGCATTTGCTGTAGCCCCCTCTGCAGAAAGCAGGCTCCCACAGACCCTGTGTGTGATGGGCATAGGAGACACAGGCACATCACAGGAAGGGAGCATTCCAGGCTCTTACTTTTCTCGCCAGTGAGGAGATTTCTTAGGTGTTATTTTAACTGGTTGATGCAAAAATAAATAGAAAGGAAGAGCAAGGGGAAGGAATGGTTTTCAGTAAATAATGGTCAGTGGGCAGCCATTTGAAGGGAGCCAGTAGGGAGGAAGTTTCCCACCTAGGCAGCTGTGACAGGACTATTAACTGGGCGCCTAGAAAGGGAGACAAACATAGCCCTTGAAGACTCCCAGAGCTCATACTGCGGTTGAAAAATGTGTGGCTGTAAAGATAAAACGGTGCATTATGTGTGTCAGCCATGAACCTGGCCAAGGATGTCTTTAAGGCATCTTTGTTTCCTCCCCGGCCTCATCCCCATTTTATGGAGGGTAGCCTGACCCTACCCTTTGCAGATTCTGGGTCTCCAGGGATCCACTGTCTGCTTTGGGAACAAGGTTTTTATTGCCTTATGTGGTGTGATATGAGGACTCCTTTTATGAAATAAAAGGAGTTTTGACTAGAGCCTGGTGATATGAAAGTGGCAGAGTTGTCTCAAAGAGGGCAGTGGCCCGTGGATGTGGAGTCTCTGTCACTAGCAGTTAAAGAGGGAGTGACAGTAAGTGTGGGACCAGAAAACAGATTTCTCGGAAACATCTGGCACTGTGCCTAGTCTTTTACGTATATGCTGTTTTTCTCTCAACTTTTTGGAGTGGATTTAAATTTTTTTTGTTGTTTTGTTTCATCGAGAGTCACAGAGATAGCATTACTGGTTTACTCAGACGTCCACAATAACCAGGGCAGGTTTAGGCCAAAGGAAAAAGCCGGAAACTCAAGCAGAGTCTCCCATGTAGGTGGCAGGGACCCAGGTATTGGGGCTGTCACCTGCTTCAGCCAAGATGTAGATGAGCATGAGCCAGGCAGTGGACTCAGGGACCTGGGCATCCTGCTCAGTATTGTGGCTGTGAAGCCAAAATGCCTGCCCCTGGATATATTTTTTTTAATCCTCATCTTACAAATGATGAACTTGGTATTTGAAGGGGGTAAGTAATATGAAGGAACAAAGAGCTATGAAGACGAGACCAAGACTCAGAGATCATAACGACAATAAGAATGCAGTTGGCCAAGAAGGAAAGCAAGGCTCTTGTTTTGCAGTGCCTGATGCAACACTGCTACTGCTCTCAGGTGGGCCTGTGATAAAGCTTTCCATAGCAGTGTTCCAGAGGGCACACAAGCAAGCATGCCCCAGGTTTGCTCCTCTGTGACACCTGAGTGTCTACAAGCAAATGGGGAGAGCAGGGGAGACAGTGGTGCTTTTCATCTTGCAGCGAGCCTCTCTCATGTGTGTCTGCTGTGTGTCATCTAGGTATGACTTCATTGAGATTCGAGATGGGGACAGTGAATCTGCAGACCTCCTGGGCAAGCACTGTGGGAACATCGCCCCACCCACCATCATCTCCTCGGGCTCCATGCTGTATATCAAGTTCACCTCTGACTATGCCCGGCAAGGGGCAGGCTTCTCTCTGCGCTATGAGATCTTCAAGACAGGTCAGTAGGGTCACCCTTAGAGAAGAGGGTAGGACATGGGGAGGGGGTGGGAGTACAGTGGTCCTATGGATTGAAGCAGGTACAGGGGTTACAGTTCCATCCAGCTGGAACAAGGTGACAGAGGAAGCGGCTCAAAGTGAACCCACAGATGCATGAGATAAAAGTCAGTGGAAGTTACCTTCAGGGGTGCAGGGTGGCAGGCAGACAGAGCAGGGTAGGTGCCACCAGCAGAGTAGGGGCGGGGGAGGAGGATGGCCACTGAATATATGAGCCAACACTTTTTAAAATATTTGACTTTTGTGCATTTTTGAAAAAAAAATTAAATAATCTTCATGGGAACAAACATAACTTCCTTCCAATCACTTCATGGTTTAAAGTTGCCTTTATTTGGAATTACATGGGACTGAAGGATATAATCTCTTCATTGTTTAGAGTCTCCACAGATCTTACCCTGACCCATTCCCCTCCCCCAAAGGGGTCACACTGTAGCTTTTGAATTAAAATGTGACATCCAAAATTCCCCCTGGCCATTCCTCTTACCACCACCTCTCACCTTCAACCCTTGACTCCCAAACACCAGATAGCAGCCTTCCTGAAAAGTCATCAGAAAGAAAACAGAGAAAGAGGGCAGCCGACACAGTCTCTCCTTTCAGTTGGCTGCTGGGATCCCATCACGTCCCTCTACCACTCCTGCAGGCCCCGAGAACACAGGCCAGTTCTCATTTCTGTCCACAGGCATAACAGGTTCACCCATAAGATGCAGCTCCAGTGTCTGCAGGGAGGTCTGTGCGGGGAGTCCCTTCTCTCCGTGTGTGGTGCATCTTCACCAAGCACATCCTCCCCTTGGCCTCCTCAGGCTCATGCCCCCATCCCCTCCAGGCTCATGCCCCCACCCCCTCCAGGCTCATGCCCCCACCCCCTCCAGGCTCATGCCCCACCCCCTCCAGGCTCACGCCCCCACCCCCTCCAGGCTCACGCCCCCACCCCCCCCCAGGCTCACGCCCCCACCCCCTCCAGGCTCATGCCCCCACCCCCTCTAGGCTCATGCCCCCAACCCCTCCAGGCTCATGCCCCCACCCCCTCCAGGCTCATGCCCCCAACCCCTCCAGGCTCATGCCCCCAACCCCTCCAGGCTCACGCCCCCAACCCCTCCAGGCTCATGCCCCCACCCCCTCCAGGCTCATGCCCCCATCTCCTCCAGGTTCTCACTCGCAGGCAGCCTCAGTTTTACAACTTCGTGGATGGAGTCTGGTGGGGGGAAGCCCTCAGCCCCGTCATCAAGAGACCCGAGGCCGGCGCCTGTTGAGTTCAGTGTGAGGGGAACTATTCATATATATTTTCTTTTTCATTAAACAGTTCTTGAAAGGAAGTGGTAGCTGCTGAAAGCACTTTTTCTATCCACTCTGTCTAAATATTTGTCGGACTTGTCTGCCTGAGCACAAGAACTTGGAATCGAATGAAGGGGTGGGTCCTGGGGAACTGTGTCAGCCAGAGTGGACTGGCACAGGGTACGGGTCCCAAGTTGGTCTGTTTGTGGTGGTTTTCATGCTCCTGACCACCGTCACTCCTTGGGGGACTGACAATCGATGTGTCTGCCAGCTCTGGGCTGGTGTGACTCCCCCAGATAAGTTGTTCTACATTTTTGTGAGTTCCGTGCAAGATGCAAATAAACCAGTGTCGCCAACACTGATAGGACCTCCAAATCCAGGCTGAGAGACAAGTATGCAAACCCTCAGCGCCTGACAGATGCACAGTCACTGTTGGAAGAATACAGTTGTAAATGGAAGTCAAGATGGAAAGTGTAATGTGAGGCAGGATGGGTGCGTGCTAAGTAAAGGTGCAATTAACATGCTGTGGTTATGAAAGCCAGGGAGCAGCTCGAGTGGCTCTGGGGAGTCCATTAGACAGCAAGGTCCCCAGTGCTAGAGCTGTCACTTGCTCCACTGTGGTGATCATGAAAGGCAAACAGCCCTGAAGCAAGATCTTCCCCGGGAGGGGGGCCAGGGAAAGCCAGAGCCAGGGTGAGCAAGGCCATTAAAGCCCATCTGTGGCCTCACGTCTCGCAACTGAGTGCTTTGCGAGGCGTGAGGCCGCTCTCCCCGTAAAGCCACACAGAAAGGAAATGTTAAATCTTCCCATCGTGCCAGTTTGAGAAGAGGATATTAACTGATAAAACACACGAGAGGGTGTCATCATTCAGCATTGCCACTTGGAGGAGAGGCAGAAGCAGGATGTAGTCTGTGACTGCTTGAGGACCATGGTGCCAGCCAACGTAGGTAGGTGGCTTGGGCATGGAGAAATGGAAGGACAGGCATGGCAGAGCCAATCACAGCCACGCTTCTGGGAAAGTGAGTGACGGGAGAAGAGCCCAGCCACCTTCTCAGAGCCACCCAAACTCGGTCAGGCCTCTGTGCAAGAGAGCAGCTCGCAGCAAGAAGAGCCATTGTCTACACACAGGATCCAAATGGAGAAGTTTCAAAAGATGAGTGTTTTTTCAGGTGCCATGTCCGCACGCCCCTGTTTCCATGGCTGGAGTCCTCAGAGAAAATCCGCAGTTGACATCGTCCATGGAACGTGAAAGAAATGGGTGTCCGGACCACAGCAAATCCAAACACAGCTATGTTTGCTAGCCGGATTCATCAAGAGAAAGATGGGGGGAACTGTAAACAGAGATACACAAATAGCCTTGGCCTGGTGCGGCTCTCTGTGGAATCGGAGTGAGAGCTGAAACCCTCAATGCGGGAACAGATGGGGCTCATGGCCCGAGTGGAAGGTTCGTGTCTGCCCTACGTGTGGAGACTTACGGGAGATTGGATGTGTCACTAAACTGTCTCCATGGTACAGGCCAGGCCCAAATGACTCACAAAGATCTCAAATCACCAAATCCTGGGCAGAACAAATAAGGAATTTTTGCAACTTAAACAAAACACTGAAAGCAGTGGAACATGTGGTTTTGGTTTGTTGTTGTAGTTATTGTTTTTTATTTTTCTTCTGATGCCTCTGGACCCAAAGTCACAATCAGGTTTTCTCTTAGTCCATGCCCAGTGACGTTTCTGAGCTTTCTCAAGCCACTCACAGAGAGACAAAGTGCAGACAGCTCACTGCCCCCTGCCCAGTACTAAGGAACTGAAGGAATCTGTGGCCCAGCCAAGCTCAGCTTTGAATAAATCCACTGTGTCTCTACTATGGTTATATCTGTAGAAACTTCTTCCCCTTGCAAGGTTATTATAAAATTTATGTCAGAAAACAACAGAGTGGGTGTTTGTCATAGTGAAGTCCAATTTCCATGGAGAATCTTAACATTGAGTGGACTTGGCTATCTGTTGACTGAGGTTTTCTGTTTTGTTTTGTTTTGTTTTAACCTTCAACCCTTTTAACACATTGTAGAAGGGGAGTTTGCATTAGGGAGATAGCTGTAGGACTTGGTCTCTTCTCTGAGCTCTTTGCTCCGTGTTTGATGTTCAGCTGTCTTCCTGATGCATTGTGTGGCAGGCAGCACCGTGGTTCCATAGATGAATGCGTGGGTTTAATAGCTTTGATTTTTCTGCATAAAAAGGCAACACCGACAAGTCGTATCACTTCATTCAAAATAAGACAGAGGATATTCTCATTTAAAGCCATATATCAGACAGGCACACCTTTTTTCCCCCATCTTAGTTTCCAAAGATCAAACAGTTCTTCCCAATGGAAGGCAGGATTTCAGAACTCTTCAAACTGGATGCTTTGGCATCTCACATTCTTCAGGTCTGTCTTGGACTCCTGGGTGTCCATTGTGGAATCCCCACCACTGAGAGGGACCAAACGAAGATTTTTGTCCTCAATGCCCTACTCCCAGGGGGTCTGGGGATTCCCCTGACCTGCCAAGGGAATGACAATAGAGAAAGTGCTTGGAGGCAAAGTCTGGATGCCTTTACCAGCTCTCCAGCAAGATGTGAATAGAGAGCTAATTTCCACCCAGCCGTGAGACTCCCCAAGTGGCTCACATGAGGAAGCCTCCATGGGGCCATAAACTCTAACCTTTTCAGAATTCCTCTTGGCCCCCTGAAGACCTGCCAGCTGGCTTGGTCTTTGCCAAATTGCATCATCCCCAGGCCATTGAGGGAGCCCTCAGGAATTTAAGGCCTGATGATAAACAAAGCTTGGGGGGGGCGGGGAGGCAGCTCCAGCTCATCCCACCAAGCCCCAGGCATAGTTGTCAGTCAGCTAGGCTTGGGCCTACCCCTGCTGCTGCCCTGCTCTTGGATGGGGAAGGAGACAGGAAAACATTAGCTCCCAGCTTCACACGTCTGCAGTTCTCACCTTGCCAAGGCGTCAGGTGGACTGAAGGTAATGAATAGAAATGGAGGAGACATCAGGACTTCCTGTCCTGTGGGTAATAAAGCAAACAGCAGCTCTCCCCTCCCCCAACTTACTTGCGTGGCAGCTTCTCCCATTCAGACATTTGGTGCTCTCCAGAAAGCCATCATCAATAAAGAGATGTGCAGAGGGGCCTGCTCCCGGAGCCGTGGATGAAGACATTGCCGCAGGCTAGGATCGGTGTATCGACATCACGGAGTTGTAGTTCAGTGCCATCCCCAGAGAACACTTCCTACACATAAACACCTGGTTTATTGGGTCTTTCTGTGCATATTTTTCCCTCTCGTGCTTCAAGTGCTTATCAACCTGCTCATAAATTCTGCTTCTTTTTCTTCTTCTAAAATCTGAATGTGGCGAATAAAATCAATCCTGATTGTCCAGCAGCTATAGCCATGGCATTAACTGGCCTCAGTGCTGGCTCCGCATTTATCTGTGGGCCCATGGGCATGGGTTGTGGTGTTCCAAGGACCCAGTCCTGTGGCTCTGCCCTGGCAAATGGTGACCCTAGCCACAGCAAAAGGAGGGCTTTTCTTTATAGAGGATTCCACCTAGAAGCGTGGGGAGACAGGGTGGCCATAATCCTCTTAGGAGCTCCGGACACTCTCCAAACTTGTACCAGGCTGCGAGCGTGTGCCGCATTTAATCAGCCTGCCTTCATGCATCCCAAGCAAGCAGATACAAGCGCCAAGGAGGGGAACAAGGCCCTCCCCTCCACAAAGGAACCAGAAGCCTTCCAAATGTCATACACTGCTGCCTTTTTCCAAACTTGCTGCTGGAGCGGCCTTTAACATCCCCAGCGCCCCACTGTGATCCACCGGCTAAAAACGCCGATTGTTAATTGTCTACCCACTACAGAGCAGCTCGTTTTAATATAGTCATGACATGAATGAGACCCAAGCTCCCCTTTGCCCCTCCCTGAGGCACCTTGGATCTCGGAGGGAGAAGGGCACACTTAGTTGGCTGGGGTACAATGGGGGCTAGTGTTGAGGTCAGCAATAAATAAGGGGTAACATTGTTTTCCCTGCTGGCAACCAGCAAGCCTTCCTTAAGGATTGAAATAACTTACATTTCTACAGTGAGCAGCTGAGTGATTGAGAAAGAAGACTCTGTTCCTCTTTTTAAGAGAACCTCTCCCCTCTCTCTCTCAACACACACACTTCTCTCTGCCCCTCACCACCAGTTCCCTAATTGCTACCCTTCCTCTAATACGGGGACTGAGCCAGCTGTGCTTTCCTGATTCCTATCCTAAAGAGAGAAATACTCGAGGGCTTGAAATATGGATCAAGGGCCACTTGAGTAGAAACAAAAACCTCATGAGTAGGGGAGATTGGGATCCAAATATTTAAATAACCCATGTGACAGAGGCCATAAAGAAAGCCATCTTTTTTTTTAAGGTTTATTTTTGTATATGAAAGATCGGGTTAGAGAAGGAAAGACAGAGCTATCTTCTTAGTGCTACAATGCTTTTTTGCATGCAGGCTCTGAAGATTGTTCCAAAAACTTCACAAGCCCCAATGGGACCATTGAGTCACCTGGGTTTCCAGAGAAATATCCACACAACCTGGATTGCACCTTCACCATCCTGGCCAGACCCAAGATGGAGATCATCCTACAGTTCCTGACCTTTGACCTAGAGCATGACCCTCTGCAGGTGGGAGAGGGAGACTGCAAGTATGACTGGCTGGACATCTGGGATGGCATTCCACATGGTGAGTGATGCCCCCATCATGAGGTGGCTTGTAAGCTCCTTGGAGCCCTTAGGTGACCCGTGGTGATTTTCTCTTCTTCTCCTTCGTCAAGGACAGTTTGAAAGCTATTACAGACAGGCAGTGTACTTTCGAGGAGATCTTTCTTTGGGAAAGGATAGGAGACAGAATAAATGGTTGGTAGAGGATGAGAAAATTTACATGTGGCATTCTTTCCAAAAGCGGTCAAACCAAAGAAAGGTATCTGAGAAGACACCTCTAAAGCCAGACTGACTTAGTGCCCATCCTACTCTGCTTTCACCAGCTGTGCCACCTTGGATGAATTACCTGACCTGGTGATGGCTTATCTGTCTCTGTTGGCTGCTGTTTTCACCACCATTGTAGTGGTTGCACTGTTATTAATAATACAGTCATGAATTTGGACGTGCGCATCACCCAAGTCCAAGAGACTTTTGCACTTCTGAGGTGAAGACTGGTAGAGATCTTCAGTATAGCCCATGTTGGGGAAGAAATTAATCTTTCTCCTTTTCAGTCATTTTAAATGTTTTTCAGTAAAAGGGAAACTTAATGCATTTTCTCTCCTAGAAAAAGCATGCCATTGAGTCAGAAAACTAAGGGTTGAGTCCCAGCTCTGCTATTTCCTAGCAGTGTGAGCAAAGAAAAGTCAGTCATGAGACCTCTGTGGACCTCAATTTCTTTTTCTGTAGAACAGGCATCGTAATGATACCTTTCCAGCACATCTCCCAGGACTGGGAGGCCAGAATGAGGCCAACTCCGGAAAAGTACTTTTTAGTGTACAGAGAAAATATTAGACATTGTTCTTATACATGTGGTTTGGTTGCTCTTTGATTTTTGTGAGAAGTTATACAGTGTGATCATCCACTGCATAGCATGCAATGGTGGAACAGGAAAATGTGTTGAAAACTGAGGGTCACATTCTCCCTTCTGTTTGCCTCTCTTCATATGCGCAGTTGGCCCTCTGATTGGCAAGTACTGTGGGACCAAAACACCCTCCGAGCTGCGTTCTTCCACGGGGATCCTCTCCTTGACCTTCCACACAGACATGGCGGTGGCCAAGGATGGCTTCTCTGCACGTTACTACCTGGTCCACCAAGAGCCACTAGAAAGTAAGTCGGCCACCAGAGAACTTTTGTCCTGTCCTCCTGTCAGGGCTGTAAGGTGCCCAGGTTACGAGAGCCTGCCTCTGCCACAGATGGAGAGGGGAACATTGCAGAATTTGCTCTGATGCCCAAGGTCAGGGAAAGCACCCACTTGCCAGGCAGAGATTAAAGAGACAAGAACCAATGCTGACTTGGGTGCTCATAGTTTTTACAGTAATGTGTGTGTCAAGAATGAGTAGTGCTCAGGGAAAGACACAAGCCTCAGATTGCTTACCTATCAATGAAAGGCGACTAATTAGGAGGATCTGTATAGAAGCCCCTTCCTGCATTGTCTACGGACATTGTTTTCCCTCTCTAAGCCCCAGAGACCATTTTCATAAAATACAGTACCTCTCTCTGCATATATATAAATATATACACATATATGTATAATATATATATAGTGTGTGTGTGTATGTGTTAAGTATCTATATCTTAAACATCTTTGATCATTAAATAACTCATAGGCGTTTCCTGGCAAATCTAGTACATATGCTTGGAGTTTCAATTAATACTCCTTTTTTCAAAGACTTATTCATTTTCATTTGAAAGGAAGTTCCAGAGAGAAGGAGAGACAGAGAGAAAGAGTGAGATCTTCCATCCACTGGTTCACTCTCCAAATGGTCACGTTAGCCAGAGCTAGGTTGATCCAAAGCCAGGAGCCTGGAGCTTCTTCTGGGTCTCCCCTGTGAAGGCAAGGACCCAAGAAATTGTGCTATCCTCTACTGCTTTCCAGATACATTATCTGGGAGCTAGATCAGAAATGGAGTAGTAGGGACTTGAACTGGTGCCCATATGGGATGCCAGCACCACTGCTATGCTGTGGCAGCTCCCCCACTGCACACTTCTAATAGATGTAGTTCTTGGAGTTACTACTCTGTGGAAGCCGCTGTGGAAAAATCTGAAAAGTGCCACTCAAAGATCCTAGCACTTGGGGTCTAGGCCATGTGCTTCTGACCTTGAAATCAGCTGTCTGAAAACTTGGCTGTGAAACAATAGCACATCTGCTCAGAGATCATGTCAACAGCCTTCAGACACAGGCTTCAAGATGTGCTGCCATTTCTCCTTCAAATTCCAAACTTTGGGGCCAAGAAAGTACTTCAAGCATGGTGACAGCTAAAGACATCCTGTTGGGGCTGTAGACAGCTCACCGCCTCCAAAACTACAGACACAGCACCCTGGCCTGCAGGAAAGTCACTGCGCTCTGGTCTGAGCCTTGCTTTCTGTTTTTTTGTTTGTTTGTTTGTTTGTTTATTTCCCATCAAAGAGTTCATGAAGCCTGAGTGACAAAGGAACAGTACAGCAAATTGTACCAGGATCTACAAATGGCCAGTGCAGCCCCAAAGCTAACGGATAGATTTGATGCCACTAAATATGACTGCTCCCTTATCAAACACATACACACCTAAGTATTGATCATTGCTCATAGCATCCAGGGGAAGGACAATCATTTCACCTGCAGGAGAAGACCAGAGTTAAGTGACTTCTGAGTCGATTTGCCCAGACAGATGGTGCAAGGGAAGAAAGTGTGACATCCATGGGCTCAAAAAGAGGTCTCGCGGAGACAGATATTTATGCTTTGTGATGTCTCTCTTCTGTGCCAGAACTCATGAGACTGTTGAGTGAAAGCGAGAGATGCACAAACGCCTCCTGGGAATATATTAATAAACGAAGCTTCCCACGATGTAGCAGCCCACCCAGGCTGCCCTGCCTTTATCTCCTGTTTACCTCTATCACAGTTAGGTGCATCTGGCATCTGCACACATCCATAGCCTGCAGCAGTAACAGTGCTTATGCTTTAGATCGTGTTTTTCATTTGTATGATGGTTCTTCTTTATCCACAGCCTAATCTCTTTTAGGTCCAATTTAGCTTCCTTCAGAGCCAGAGGGGTTGTCAAACTCCCTCACTTAGTGTAGTTGTTTTTCAAATGTGAGCATATAATTAGTGTCATTAAGATGAGAGAGTACCTGCAAGGACTTGTCCCTAGATGGGAGCAGTGTTTGGAGGATCCCAGGGATTAGAGATTGAAAAGCCTAACCCTGCCCTTGACTTTCTCCATTTCCCAGACTTCCAATGCAATGTCCCTCTGGGAATGGAGTCTGGCCGGATCGCCAATGAACAGATCAGTGCCTCATCTACCTACTCCGACGGGAGGTGGACCCCTCAACAAAGCCGGCTCCATGGTGATGACAATGGCTGGACCCCCAACTTGGATTCCAACAAGGAGTATCTCCAGGTATGTGTTCTGATCCCACATGCTGTGCAGAGTGTGGAGGTACTGGTGGGATGGAGGTGAAGCTGAGGGGAGTGAGAGTTCATCCTTGGAATAGGAAAGGACACAAAGAAGTTCCGCACAGCATACTTGAGCGCTTCATTCATTCATACACTCATTCATTCCATATATGTGTCAGGTGCAAAAAGATTGTACCGGACACTATGTTTATATATACTGAAACAAATTGGTGAATGACAGAGACACTGCCCTTGCCTTTGTGGGAATTAGCACGTCTGGGAGACGTTCGTTTGGCCAAGATGCTGTTCACCCCATTGCCATTGACATCCAAGCACTTCTAAAGCAGTTCCTTGTCTTTCATGCTCTTGGCACCAGGAGGTAACAGAGTCATGAGCAGTTTTCCTGAGGGCAGGTCTGTGGAGGTGTGAACTGAACACACAGGTCTGTGGAGGTGTGAGCAGCTTCTCCTGCTCTTGTTTGTTGAAAGCCCTGCCGTTGGGGCTTTGCACACAGCTCTCAGAAGAACACATGGGAAAATGTCAGCACCGGGGAACACAACTCGAGTTGCCCAGATGCTCCAAAGCAACTCTTCAGACCATTGTTTGCTTTCTTTCTAAGACTTGCAGCTCCTGTTGAGTAATCGTCCTGCCCCGCAGACTGGTCCAGCAATCAGCCCCTGGGAAGAAGTAAACAGAGGAAGCTAGCCCCATACCAGATCTATGACTGCTTTTATGACACATGGCAGACAGCCTTGTGACCCATTGACAAGTCTGTCCTAGCTCTGATGTGACACACTGACCTCTGTTCTAAGAAGGGCACTACTGAGCAGACAACAGGAAAGGGAGAATGGCCACTTAGAAACTCCAGGAGCCCACACAGGTCGTAACAACACAGCCTTAAGGCCATCTAGTGCATCTCTCCTCTCGGCTTTTCCAAAAGCAAAGCTTTGGGGAAGTTCTTTAATATTGGCATTCCATTGGTCCTTACTTTGAGTGCCTAGGTTATTTCTCCTAGTGCCATTCACCTGTTTCTTGATCACACAGATAGCACTGCCTACTTTTGAGTACATGCTGAGCACATAATCAGAGGCCAAGAAGTGCTTACTGAATTGAATTTTGCCACTGTATGCTGGCTGAATTTTGGTTGTGTGGAGATTGGGGAGTGACACACAGCAATTTCCAAATGGGTTTGGCACTGTGGGAGGGAATGTTAGCCATGCTCATCGTAGAGTGAAAGGTCAGGCTTCGTGCATAAGCCTAATTGCCTGGGCAGACTCTGCATGCCCTCTGACCTCCTAGTGACCTGAGCGCAAACACACAATAGAGCCAGGGAGTGTGGGGAGGGGAGACAGTTGGGACTGGAGCTTTTGCTCAAGAGCATCCTAAGTGGATTGGATTGGATTGGGCTGGATTGGAGTGGAGTGGATTAGTTGCCATTGTTTCTTTTATGTAGCTCCTGCTCTCACCATCCAAGACAGACAGCAGTTTAGTAAGAAGAGATCAGAGTTCTAGATGCTCAGTGGTTATTCTGAGAAGAAATGAACAATGTCTATTCAGATTTGCAAGCGGAAAGAAATATGATCAAGTTGCATTTTCAAGGTGTCCCATTCAGTGTCATGTTCATTTGATTTTCATTGTTCGGTGAAACTCCAGACTGACACTAATTACAAAGAACATCTCAGCGAGTCGCAGGCACAGGCTGTGAGCTAAGTACACTAGTGGTGTCCTTTGTGGAAAAGCCAGGGGCTGCAGGGCTTGAGGCTCCTTGTGACTCCTCCCCCTCTCTTCCACAGGTGGATCTTCGCTTTCTAACTGTGCTCACAGCCATTGCAACACAGGGGGCAATTTCCCGGGAAACCCAGAATGGCTACTACGTCAAATCCTACAAGCTGGAAGTCAGCACTAATGGAGAGGACTGGATGGTGTACCGGCATGGCAAAAACCACAAGGTAAATGGCAACAGGGCAGGAAACATGGGGGAAGAGGACCCCACGCCTGGGAGGTGGCCTTGTTTAGTGGGGCAAGGGGTACGCTGCTCTGGAAATCTTTCTTACGCAAAAGTCATTGCAACACCTTTTTCCCTGCCAGCCTGGCTGCAGTTGCTTCTTGCACAGCAGAGAGAAATTGCAAAAGTGCTCTCTGACTGCAAATGAAGGGGAAAATGCGCTCCCAGTCCGTGGGCCCCAACTCAGGATTCACCGAGCGTTTATGGCCTGAGTCCCTTTCCGCATGCTGGGTTAACAATCACAAAACCACATGAAACTGCAGTTCAGGAGCTGCCGAGGTCTGGCAATGAAAGGGCCCAAATCCTAGGAGGGAATCATATTGTCCGGGAAAAAGAAAGAGAACAATAAATAATGAGGAGAAACCTGATGTGTCAGGGATGGGCTCTGACCTGGCCAACAGGCTTAGCAGCGCACCATTGAGGCATCCCGGCTGGGGCCTTCAGTGTCCTGGGTTCCCGGAAGTGTGTTTCACCTGGGTGGCGTGGGCCTTTTGTTGTACATGTGGATGTCTAGCACTCGGCTTATTTAAAACATGTGGCACGCTGGGTCTGCAGCTGACACTGGGCATGTACTAGCTCTGTGGCACCTGGCACCTGTGGGGATGGCTTCTGAGATACAGTCAGCATCTTACCTGAATGGGAATAGAGCTTGGTGGCGGGCGGGAAGGTCTGTACTGAGGGCTCAGGCCCTAGCAGCTCTGTGCGGAGTGGACATAGGAAGGTGGGGGAAGAGGCTGGATCTGAGATCTAGAAGGAGAGAGTAATGCCTAGGAATTCCTAGCAGTTGCTCTCCTTCCCTGGAAGTCTCAAAACCCAGAGACCCAAGATGTCTTCCAAGGGGCTGCCCCTCCCTACCCCCAGGCATCTTGTTCTTTCCGGTGAACCTGGAAACCCAGAAAGGTTGACAATCCTAGGAAATGTGACTTTTTAAAGGAGCAGGGTTTTAACAAATTAAAATTGTCATAGTAACGTGCCACCATTTATCTGGAAATTATGGTTTTCACACATTCTGGGAATCACACACAAAATGTGCCCATTTCTCCTATGAGAAAATGTGGGGTGCTTAGTAATGGCAAGACATCCTCACCTGGATATGTAAGCCAGGTATGATTTGCCATTAACCAGATTCAGGAAGAGCTGCCAGACTTCAGTGTGTGTGTATGTTGGGGGGCAAGGAGGGATGGTATGGGCACTGGGGGTTGAGGATAGCAAGGTGAATCAGCATTAGGTGCTGTGAGCTCCGGGCTAAGTCTTCACACCCTCCTCCCTGCTTCTTTTCCACTTGTGCCTTCTCTTATAGTCCATCCTTTACAATGAAAAACTAGGCAGCCAGCAGTGGGGTAGGGGTGAGTGGTGGGGACGAGCTAGAGACTCACCTGACCATCTCCCTGTCCAGGCTCGATGACTAAGCAGCACCAGCCAGAGGGATACTGGAGCATAAGCTGATTTTAAAAGCACACAGATGGGCCAGGATGCTATTTAAAACACCATTTGTAGGAAATCTGCTTTCGGAAATACCTTCGCACTGCACATTTGGAGAGAGCGAGGTCCTCCCTGGCTTTGGCCCTGGCATTCCTTGCTCAGGGAAGACAGTCCCAAGGACTGAATGACTTCCTGGCCTCTAAGACCATTCAACTCAACCGCGTCCTACTGAGTACACCTTACCTCCCCTTCCCACCCTCAACCGCATATCTATCCCCAGCAGCCTAGGACGGACTTTTGGCTTTATTTTTGTTTTTCATTTAGTGAATCAATCTTACCCAGAGAGTGCTGAAGCAGAGGAAAAGCCTTTTCTGTCCTCCATTGTAATTTTGTCCCTTTGGGACTTGGAAGGAGGGAAATGGAAAGTCTGCCAATTAGGCCTTGTCCCCATCCTCATGCCCCTCGCTCCACCATGGCATGGTGGGCAGGCAGATGGACCTCTGCTGTCCCTTCAATAGCAGATCTCTGTGGATTGCGCATGTATAACACAGGAGTGTATACAGAAGGAACAGGCTCAGTATCACTGGTGGTCCATCAGCCTAGCTCTCTGGGCTGTAGGGGCTGAAATGGCAGATAGATTTGTTGAGTGAACCATGCCAGATAGATTTGTCAAGTCAGCTGCATGAAAGGGAGGGGAGGGCGAGGGAGGAGGGGAGTCAGGAGCAGCCTTGGGGAAAAGCTTCATCCATGCCGGGTGCCACCACTGAGCTTCTCTTTGTGGCCGCTGCATGATGGGCACTGTGCCAAGCTAAATGGTGCTAAGGGGGTGAGGGATGGCTTGCAAGAGAACTTCCAGGGACTTAGAAGAAAAAAGCAAAGCAGAGATGGAGGCAGCAGGCTGCTTTGTCATGCAGGGGAAGGGCTTGCCAATGCCTTCCTGAGGGTGCAAGGCGGGAGTGGGATGTTTGGGGCAGAAATGCGGGGAACTCAATTTCAATTCACTGGTCACTGTCACCACCAATGTGATATTTCAAAGATGGGATTGGGGAAATTGGAGCAAAATAAGATGAATGAGATGGTTGAAGATGGCTGTGCTATACCCTTGCAAAACACTGAGCCAAGGTGAGCCTGGACCCAAGGGAAAACGACTCTTGTCACTGCCAAGGGATGAGAAAGGCTATTCAACTCTTTCGCAGCCTCTCCCAGCCAAGGAGCAGCCTCTTAGTTTCTTTCCATCCAGCAGGTAGCCTGTAAGAAAACCAATCACGCTGTGGCTGGTGTATGACGAGTTTGACGCTGGCAAATATAGTCCAGGCACACAGACCACAGCCTAGCCCAGCTCCAAATCCTTATCCAGTTCCACATGCCATAAGTATGAAACCTATGATTTTCATACAGGGCAGATCCCTCCATGTGCATATTTAGGGGGTAACCACAGGCAGAGAATTTGTCTGCCTGATGGAACCCATATCCAAACCATGTGCCCCACTAGATTATACAAATTGCTTCCCAAATATTTCTTCAGAAACCACAAGTGACAACTACTGCTTTCTGTTTCACTAGCTGTATTAGCAACATCACAGATGTAGTCCCAGTGTTGTCAGGATAGTCGGAGGCAGGGTCACATATGTGTGTACTTTCCAGCACAATCATGTGCCAGGAGAGGCATATGGAGAATGACATAGCAAGCCTCAAGGCACAAGGCCTGGGTCAAGGGCCTGCCCTTCTCTGAGAGGCTGATCCCAGAGTCTGTAACAGGGGAAAGTGTGTGCCTTAGGAATAGAGTCATTACCAGTGGCAAGGGACAGGGCCAGAGGCCAATGCCCTAGTCATCACTTCTCCCTTATTTGGTAAATCTGTGCATCTCCCTGGTTGACATAGCTTTGGTTACGTTGCCCTTAGCCATGGTATTGCTGGGCTATTTTCAGGTATAGGGAAGATATTTATGCTAAGAGTGTGTCCACCCTGATTGGGAATGAGAGGATGGGGATGGAGATAAGATTTGGGACCAGGAATTTGGGAGATTACTCCATAATCATTGGCTCCAAACTCATCATGTTAATATAATGACAACCACTAAGGAATTCACAGAACCCTCAGGCACTGACTTATTCCTTTCAGAATGTGGTAGCATCTCACAGTCTGTAGAAGTAGCACTCCAAGACTAAAGAACTTGCCTCAGGGGCTGGGGCATGTTGGAACCCCTGTGGGGAAGGCAACTGGCCTTCCTTTCGGCTGATGTTGTTGATAGTCTGCCTGCATATGACTCTGCTCTTTCTGCATCCAGAGGATGATGGGCCTTTGGGGTGCTCAGTAGAGGCTGAAAAGAGCCCCTATTCCCCAAGAGGCTCCTGCAAATGTAGCTCTGAAGATGGCTCTGATTCATATAGCCTGACTCGGAGGCCAGGCTCCTCCCTATGGGTGAGAGGGTCCCTGTCACAGAATGTGAGGAAAGAGAATTGAAGGAAGTTGCTACCTGTTTGGGTTGACCATATGCCTTCAAAACAAACGCCTCACTTCAAAAGCCCTCTCTGCCCTGTGTTTTTCTGAATTAAACTACACCATTGCTGAACAAATGGCTTGCAAGGAGAAGGAATGCTATGAGAAAACCAAACCCCCAAGTCTGCAGGCTGATAGAAGTGTGTGACATCTGTTTTCAAGGCTGCTCTGAGTGGCTCCACCAGTGTCTCTGTCCACCCAAATGGAGTGGTGCTGCAGCCTCTGCTGGCAGAGACACTGAGATCTGCAGATGGTAGCCTTTCTGCAGCTATAATTAATGTATTAGGCCTGCAAAGCTCTTCTTGCATAGAAGCAAGTTATCAATTTAAAAAGTAACCTGGGCCCCATGGGGTATTTATCTGCCTCTTTTTAAATCAAGCCTGGAAGGAACAGTAATATGTCCTCCAGACCTTCCCCCGAATCCAATGGGCCTGTACCCAGGCTACTTCAGATACAAGTCATTCACCCTAACCTCAAGTCTTGGGTAGGGATGCAATGATTGCCTCAACTGACAAATTTGTGTTTTTGAAACAAACATTGCTTTTTCACCCTGAAGGATAACTGGCTTGTCTGTATTCCTTTTGTGGTGCTCATTTTGTTGGCTTGTGTGTAAGGTTAGGATCATGACTCAAATCCTAATCATGGGCATCAGCCTCCCAAAGTCATGGACGTATCTGCCTCGTCCATCCATGTTGGAGTGTGCTCTGCCCTTTCCAAGTTCAAGTCCTCTGTTACCTGCTCCCCTCGGTTATCACTGAGAAGAATCCAGTGCCTTAGGTAATTAAGTTTGCCCCTCATCCATTTGCCACAGGATGAGGTCAGACCTTTAGCCTCTCCGCATAGGAAGTTCAGAGGAAAATTTCATTATACAGAAGCTTGAACTTTCTCTCTAACAGGCTCCTGGGTCTGGCATCACCCAGTTATGGGTGCTGAATTGTCTCCCAGAGCCGAGGCCAGGTTCCCTGACACTGACAGACTTCTTGATGCTGAGCTCGTGCTCGCAGACTAAGACTGTGTTACAGA